CCATAGTCAATTGGTCGGGTGAAGGGCGGGCAGCTGTAGACCCCAAATCTTGCTCGGCTCCCCAATAAAGCCAGAGATAACCCGTTTCGAAGATGGTAAAGACTTTATTAAGTCCCTATTAGTTTTTTCTAAGTTCCATTTAAGATAGGAAGGGTTTTCAGAGGCAATAAAAATCGCAAATTTCATCAGAAACAGTAGATGGTCGTCCAAGACAGTCAGACGGCTGTCCATGTCTACTTTAAGGCGATGGACAGTCGTCCACTTGGCTCAGACGACCGTCCATGGCAACTCTTTGCTATGGACGACCGTCCACCCTACATGGACGACCGTCCATGGCCACTTTTTGCCATGGACGGTCGTCCACTAAGTCTAGACGACCGTCCACTTTTTCCTGGTGCGGTGTCCTATAAATAAAAGTCTCATTCCTTAAAATTTTCACACATTTTCACTCCTATCACTCTCTAGGAAGCCTTTTGGCACTTTTGAGTGACTCTGAGCATTATTCCAGAGTTTGAGTGAGCTTTCCGATTTCCGTTTAAAGTAAATCGGTTAAGGAAGTCTCCTTTTGAGACATTCGGCACTCGGTAGAGTGAGATTTTATCTTTTGCGGGAAGAGCGTGCCTGTAAAGTGCGGGGACTGCCAAAAAGCGTCCTCAAGTTTCAAAGGGTCAATATAAAGCTTGCTTCGGAGGTTCCTTCCCTATTCACTACAAAAAAAAAAGCCTATTACCTACGGAATATTATCTACGGATAAAAATCCGTAGGTAAATTTTACATTACCTATGGATATTACCCACGGATGAAAATCCGTAGGTAAATTGTACATTACCTACGGAATTACTATCCGTAGGTAAATTATATTAAACTAAAAGAATTGTCACTAGCAAGAATCAAACCCAGTACCATAAAGTTGAAAACTGATACTCCAACCACTAAACTATTAGGATATTCTAATAATAATTTACAACTAAATTATACTTATATTTATTCGTGTAAATATATAAATATATAAATATAAAATATATAAATATAAAATATAAAATATATAAATATAAAATATATAAATATAAAAATATAAAAATATAAAATATATAAATATAAAATATATAAATATAAAAATATAAAATATATAAAAATATAAAAATATAAATATATAAAAATATAAATATATAAATATATAAATATATAAATATATAAATACATAAATATATAAATACATAAATACATAAATACATAAATACATAAATACATAAATACATAAATACATAAATACATAAATACATAAATATATAAATATATAAATACATAAATATATAAATACATAAATACATAAATATATAAATATAAATATATAAATATATAAATATATAAATATATAAATATATAAATATATAAATATATAAATACAAATATATAAATATATAAATATATCAAAATATCAAAATATAAATATAAATATATTTTATATTTATATATTTTATATTTATATATTTATATATTTACACGGATAAATATAAATATAATTTATTTGTAAATTATTATCAAAATATCCTAATAGCTTAGTGGTTAGAGTATCGACCTTCAACTCGATGTACTGGGTTCGAATCCTGCCAATGACAATTCCCTTAATCTAATAATAATTTAAAGTTCAGAAAATATAATAAATAATAAAAATATAATATAAAGGGGAGGGGGTTGTAATAAATAAAAATATTTTGTTTAGGTGAGTGCATTACCTACGGATTATATTCCGTAGGTAATTACCTACGACCAAATTACATACGGATTTTCTACGGAAAGAAATCCGTAGGTAAAGTGACATTACCTACGGATTTTTGTCATTACCTACAGATTTTACCCGTAGATAATAAGCTTTTTTTTGTAGTGATTCTCTCTCTTTTACTGCTTTCTTTGTGTGCAAAAATATTTTGTTTAGGTGAGTGCATTACCTACGGATTATAATCCGTAGGTAATTCCAGCGAGTGCATTACCTACGGATTATATTCCGTAGGTAATTACCTACGACCAAATTATATACGGATTTTCTACGGAAAGAAATCCGTAGGTAAAGTGACATTACCTACGGATTTTTGTCATTACCTACAGATTTTACCCGTAGATAATAAGCGTTTTTTTTGTAGTGATTCTCTCTCTCTTTTACTGCTTTCTTTATCGCTTTCTTTGTGTGCATTAGATAATAGGGTCATGTAGATATTTAAATTCTGCAAGTAGGTAAAATAATAGGGTAAAAACATAATTTCTTTAAGTATTTATTTTCTGAACTAGTCCATCATAGGGAACCCGAAAGGAGCATTGTGGGGTGCTAACACCTTCCTCACACGTAACTAATTTCATTACCCGACTCTGGTTGTAATGGCCAAAATTGTTTTTTTTTCTAAAACCAATGTCTTCTTCTCTTTTTTTCCTTTTTCGATGTTTATGGTAAAAACATCGATGACGACTCCCTCGAACCTTTTCGAAAATCTCGCCTTTAGGTCCAACTCGGTTATCGGACAACCTAAAGATGTTGAACCACTTCTTTAAAAAACGTGAGTCATCTAAAATCATCGTGTCGCTCCAACCATCTTTTCTGACATTTAAAAAAAAAAATACAATTATAATGTGTTGTACAAATTTTGATTTTAATTTTTATTTGTAAGTTCTATCCATATTATTAAATTTATTTTGTAGGTCGTCTTATTTTATGTACTGTTTCAAATATGATATTCCATGCATGTATGTTTTGTTGATATTCTGAATTATTTTAAAATCAACCATGTTTTAAGTTTAAAAATATCAAAGGTGTGGTGTGGATCACGGCTGAAAATTGAATGGGTTATAAATTGTCAGAAGAGGGAGTTGAGTGGGCTGGGCTTGGACGTGAGATTTAGTCTTTTTGTAAGGTTAGATATTCGAGGAGACTATACATATTTCTACAAATAGATAAGTCAAATATATAAACATAAAAACAATAAAAAATCTTTAAAATATTAAGTTATAAGATTTTTTTTACCTATAATATATATAATTTTGTTTTATTTTTATTAAATACATATTTTAACTCATATTTTAATTTTTAACAAATTCGGAAAAATCTAAAATAAATATTTTTAAAAAAGACTTTAAAATATAAGTATGAACATATAAAAAAAAAATTTGAGGTTCTAGACTGTGGTATAAAAAAATTTACAGTTCATGCGGGTTCAAAAAATTTTTAGATTAATCTTTCTGAATTATCTTTTCAAGATTTTCGTGGAACATGAAATTATGTTTCAATAATTCATAACTTATAGGTGAAAAATCATTTTCAAGTTGACTTTTTTGTTTAAAACTTCCCGAATTCATTAATGCTTGAAAGCTTTCTATATTGACATTTTCAAAATGACAAAGTTATTATGGATTTTGTAATCCAAAATAAAAAATATTATATATTTTCAGATCATTTATTTAAAAGTTGTTTTAACTGACCCAAAAAAATTGTAAACATGTTAGAAAAATTAAATAAATGAATTTTTTTTGGCAATATATTATATTCAAATATGTTGAACAATCTTCATGTTTGTTGATATATCAAGCTTCTAGTGACTTATATACTCTTCATATATAATGTTTCGATATAAACTCTTATTGTATTATTATAGTTATTGAATCCGATAATTTGATTTTTGAAATAATATAAAATTATTTGAACATACTGAAAAAAAAAAATACTATCTTAACTTAAAAGTTCAAGACCTATCAATCTCGACTTGGGTCATCTTTCTAATGTTAATAAATGATTTTAAGTTTTAAGGTCTTTGAGTGAATTAAAAAAAAAAGTTTATAAACTACAAGTTTATGCTAACTGTGTAAAAAAAGAGATTATTTTGATTTATGAAAATAACTTGTATCATAATTAAAGTTTAAAAAAGTAAATTTAATTATATGATATGTAAGATGATGGCAAAGTCAATTTTAAAAATGAAGATACCAATGTCATCATCAACTTTTAGATTTCTGTTAAAAGTCCAAACTCACATGCTGGAAAAAGTTCGTAATTTATTGAAAAATGATCCATTTCAATAAATATTAAAGTGATTTTGACTCTTTTTTTAACTAAAAATACCATAAATAACTAAAAGGGATGATAATAATTTTTAACATACTTATATACGTAATTGAACTATTTTTTAAATTGGCCAAGTATTGGCATAAAATTAATCATTGTCTCATTTGGAGTTTATTGATAAATATATATGATGAACTTTGAAAGTTAAGAGAGGAGGTCAATATTTGTCATTTCAAATATTAATTGCTAAGTTGATATTATTTTTATTAGTAGAGTTGTCATGAATAAACAAATACTTTGAACATAGACAAAACTCAAGTAAATTAAAAAGGTATTTTAGATTTTATTTATTTTGATCTCTAAACATATATTAGAAGATCTTGAAAACAAAATAAAAGAAGGTCAATTTCAAAAAATTTAAATAAAAAAATACTAGCTAAAGTTTTTTATAATTTCAAATATTAATAGGGTAATACGACAAATTTTGATAATAAAATAAAGTGGACTTGTTCCATGTTCCCCATTCAAGGGTAAGAATGCATTAAACAAAGGAGGAAACTTATTCATTGTTATCATGAATTCTTGTTATAGCAAAGAATCCTTTTTGTGCGACAAGACAAAGTACTGAAGAAACCGAGGCATGTTGGTATACACAAGCTCATAAGCTTAATTAGTCTAGCCGCCATATGGGACTAATCTAATTAATAATGAGAGTATCATAAACATTGTAAAATCATTAGTTCCAATATAAACTAAAAGTATTAAATCTCCATTACAAGTTTATTCAACTATTTTGCTAAGTAGAACATTAGAAATTCATAACTAATACTTTAACGTAGGATGCACCAAACTGACTGTGGTAGCAATCATCACGTTATTCAGCTTACAACCTGGAAATTGTTACTACATGACCACAGTTTCTTGCGATGTTGTATGCATTGTAGCCCAGTGCCTATGGATAGACCTCAATAAGAGATCTAAAACCAAGAATGGGAAATATTTTGTAGTCTTTGAATCCTGCTTCAATGAAGAGTTGTTTCCATTCTTCCTCGGTTCGCTCTTTTCCATTGATGGCCAACATTGTCATATCCAAACTCAGCTTTGTTTGAGTCACTTCTTTGTAATCAAGCTTTTCATTTATTACTGTTTCTATTATAAGCACTTTTCCTTTCTGGTCTTTGGTTGAAATAGACTCCCTACAGTTTTTCAGAATCTTTACGCAATTTTCATCATCCCAATCATGTAAAACCCACTGCAAAGAGAGTTAGAGGAAAAAAATGCCTTTAATTATGATTGCAAATTTGCAGTATTTTTTTCCAAATCAAACAAGAAAAGAACGTGTATATACATATTTGTACGTACCTTTAGAAGGATTGCATCAGTTTGAGGGATGGATTTGAACATGTCACCACCAACAAAGCTTAAATTACTGCTTCCTGTCAAGTTTGCTATAACCTGAGGAAGGTCAAGCACAACACATTGCAACTTAGGAAATGTCTCGCTGATAATTCTGGCTGTGGTTCCAGTTCCACCACCTACATCCACGATGGAATCTAGGTTCTCAAAAACAGAAGTGCAGTTTTTGAGAGCCAAGTCTACCATTTGGGAATCACTTGCCATGGCCTCACTGAAGAGACTCAAGTATTTAGGTTCTCTGTCAATAAGTCCCCAAACACTTGTCCCTAAGGCAGTCTCATACAGTGTGGGGTCCTCCCCACAAATCCATTCCCCCAAGTGATGGTATTTACTCATGAGAAGAGGATCAGTAATCAACCGAACCATTGGAGATAAGCAATGGCCACTGCCATTGACTAGAAGTTTTGAGGCTGGGGTTAGAGCATATGTTAGTTCATGATCTTTTTGGCTGTGATGGATGTGAAAGATTCCATTGTGTGCCAAAAAGCGCATTAACCGCTGAAGAAAAGTAGTCTTAGACGGTGGAATTTGAAGAGTTGATACCAACTGAGAAAGAGTAATGGGTTTTCCATGGTTGTGTATTATGTCTGGAATACCTAGTTGGACAGCCCATTTAAGACACAAAGGTTTAAGGTGACCAAATATCTGCATGTACAAGATATTTTGGCCTTCAAAGAGCTCAATGGCATTTTGGTTATCCATTGAACCCATTACTGCAAGAGATACTGCTTAAACTAGTTTGCTATGATTCCATCACCAGCATTGGCTTGCCTTATATAATGTTTTACGACCACCCTCGCGCACACCGCACCGACTAATCCAATCCTTTGACATTTTTCTTAATGGGTGTTTATTATTTTTGCGCCAAAATTTAAACCTATGATATTGTCAACTTGCTTCATCTCTACCCCTATTATGATTTTTTTTTTTTCCTTGCTGAAGAGGATATCTACCCAGTTTTTCTCTCTTATGGACAGAAGAGGGTCCTATTAATCAATGTTACGATGTTTGAACGATGACTTTGTTAAGTTTGAAAATATATATTTTTGGAACTAGTTACACCATACATCCATTCAAACTAAAAATTAGATTTCTTTGCTAATTTTATTTTTCTTAAATATTACATGGGTAGCTTGTGAAACAAAACTTATGCGGCATATATTTAGGAACTTGAAAAATTCACAACAAAGGATTTTCTCACAATATGACTGCGGATATAACCTCGGAGATTGAGGGTGAACGAAACCAAAACAGATTTTGATTGCCCCGTTTGGTTGTTAAATTTCGTATGAACAAAAATAGTATAATCAAACAACCAACTATTGTTTTATTTTAAAAATAATAGTGTCTTTTTTCCATCATAATTGTCTTGAAGGAAAATAAAAATCTTGAAATAAATATCATTTTAGCTTTTTTAAATGATTTTTTTTCATTTATATATTATTGGTTATACTAATAATAGATAATAAAAACTAAATAAGGTTACTTTTGTAAGATTTTATTATTCTCGTTCATTTGTTTATTAGTTTCTCTTAATTAATTATGATAAAATGGGACGAAAGGGTTTTCTTTTATTTATCCTTTTTAACCTTTTCAAGTTATATATTTTTCAACAACATAAAATAGATGAATATACTATTGAATTAAAAGAGTGTATCAATAATAATAAAAAAAACTATCATGAGTTCTTTTGGATTCATATTATCTATGATAAATTTTTATTCTATATGTTATTGAGATTAATTAAAAAAGTATGAGAATTTTCAAAATAATGGTATTTATTGGAAGATAAATGGAGGATGAAATGAATTGGGTTTGTCGATTAGGATAAAAATGAGGAATGGGATAGGTGGTTCAATGGGCGCCAACACACACGGATTGACCCACCAAACCTTGTATTTTTCAAAAACATTATCAACACATGTTATTAAATTTTGATGTTTAGAATTTTAATAGTATATTTGTATTTTTTTAATTAATTTAAATCAAAATATATATTTGTTATTATTCTTATTTATTTATTAAATTTATCAATTTATATTTTCTTTATATACAAAAAAGACTTGATTTTTTTTCCATAGAAATAACTGTTAGGTCAGTTATCTGTTCCTGATGGGATTTTCACTCGTTTTTGGATTTGAAGGAAGAGAAAGTAAAAATAGTCAGACTGAAACGCTGGTTTGTTTGATTTGAAGCATCCCCAGGAGTTATGCGTTTTTCACAAGCGTTTTCTTTTTTTTGATATATATATATATATCCATCAAAACCACGAGGGATTAATTTTATTTCATTCCATATTTTATTTTAAAATTAAAAAAATTCATTGTCGGCACATCATGTCCTAACTCGGTTATTTTAAATATAAAATATATTAATAATAATAATATAATTTAAGAGAAAATTATTATTTTAGTTTACTTAAGTTAAACATTACTATTCCATTTCATTTAGTTCTTTTAATAACGGTTAAAAAGGCTTTTAACAACATTCATTAATCATCGTTGTGTTGCAAAAAAATCAACGATGACGGACAGGTATTATCGAAAATACAGAATATTTACTAGGACAGTTTTCATAATATCTATTGTTATATGGTTTTTATTAATTTATTATTTTAATTTTACGAATATCTTGAAATATAATTTAATTAAAATTACCATCGTTGGATGTGTTATTTTTTTAAAATATTAATTCAATTTTATAATTATCTCAAATTTGCATTAAATCAAATTTCATAACCACAAATCATATACCAAAATTTAGAATGTGGTGGTGCGAGGAAGAGAAAAGAAAGAAAACTACAACGAAATGGTAGAGAAAGAAAGTAAATTGCTAAAAATAATTTTATTTTTTTTGCGACAATTGCATTTAGATTATCATAAAAAATATCATGTAATCGTTGTCGTGTCGTGTATTATTTTCAACAAACTTTTACATTAATGTTAAAATATCTGTATTTTTATATTGTCGAATTTTATTTTCAAATCCTACGTAGATGAAGTCCTTTATTAATTATTTACGAAAATAAAAATATTAAATAAAAAATAATTTATATGGTTTTTAAATCTGGAAAGCAACTTTATCATTTTTTATTTTATATATATATATATATATATATATATATATATAAATTTAAAAAACATTTTTCCCAATACTATATATCCTACTACCCAACAAGTTGGCAGTATTCTACCGTTTCCCTTCATCACATAGCACATGCTAACTAAACCTCTCCTTTGGCAACACTAGATTTTGTTGACCAATCATGATAATGACATGACCAAAGTAAAAGAAAAACAACCTTTTATTTTTGTTTCATTCATAGTACAATGTGACAAAATCATGATCAGAAAAATAACTGCACATTCATAAATTTCAAACACATTTAATGCATGTTATTGAGCTCTCAATTACGGTAATTGACCGAGGGTAGCAGCTATTCAGATTTTCTTATTGTATCTATTAAGATGCCGATTGAAGATTTAAAAAAAAAAATTAAGTTGAAAAAATATGTCTTGTATGTTTATTTTATTTAAAATTAATATTTTTTACAAAAAATATTGTTAGAAAATAGTTCTAGATATGTTCGTCACAAATGAAAAATGTAGAAATATAACTTTTTATAGCCAAAATAAAGTTTCAATACCGTAGAAATACTATATTATTCTTATTAGATAAATAAATATTATAAATAATTAAATTTATGAAAAATATTACATATTTTATTTTTTCAAAATTATAAAAATATTTTTTAGGAACCTACGACACATCTATTTTAGTCATTGTTCTGACTTGTATTTTATTATAAGCGTTTGGTATAAGACATTTTTAAAAAATAAAATAAAATCCGATAATCATAAATCTTGGAAATGAGAAATTATTATACTATATCTAGTTGGTAAAAAATATTTTTTAATTTTTTTAATAATTCTATGTGAGAGAAAAAAAAGTTTCTTGAATAAAGAATTAGAAAAGAAAAATATATAGAATTTCATTTCACCTGCCAAAGTAGGTAAATGTTTCCATCGGAATATACGGAGATTACTAACACAAGCCTTCATAAATAACATTCAACGGACCACAACTTTTCTTAATTCGCGTTCAATGGAGTATTTAAGAGAAAAAAAATGTTATTGGTTATTGTAATTTTTTTTAATTTGATTATTTATTTTATATTTTAAAACGATGCATATGGTCTTTTAAATTTTTATAACTTGCAATTTAAATTTTTCTTTATATAAAATTTAATATTTAACGATAATTTTGTCTTATCACAAAGTTGAAAAAGAAGATTAATTTTAAATGATATTTAAAATTTGAGGATTAATTAATTAATTTAAAATACAGAGATCATATATAGTTATTATAAAAGTTAAACTGTGTATCAATTTAGATGAAAAAAACATATTTAATTTGTAAAATAATAAAAAATTATCTCTTTATGCGAGTTTTTTTTTAAAGAAAAAAATTCGCATAAACTAACTGTTATGAAATCAGAAGTAATTTTTAGATGATTTTTTTTATGAATGTTAACAAAGAATAAAATTTAAAATAATTTTTTAATAAATTAAAATTAATTTATATATAAACTCATTTTTAGAAGTTCGTATGCTAGAACGAGGCAGAGTCACCTGCAAATATTTTCTCATATTTAAATAAAAAATATATATAAGTGAAATAAGGATAATTAGTAAGTGAGTGTCTCAAATAAAAAAAATAATATTTTTATAGAATATCATCTAAGTAATTACTCAATGATAAATATTTATCTTTATTTAATTAATTACGTATCTATTTTTGGTGAGAATCTAATATTCTAAAAAGATATGGAGTATCTCCATCTTCTAATATTTTGAAAAAAATATTTATATTATAGTCCTTTATTATTGATTTAATTAGTTGATTATTTCGGATAAGTATAAAATAAAAAACTATTAAAATAAATAAATAAATAATACTCCTATGCAAAGTTAGAAAAAATGTAATGATCTCGTTACTTTTGAAGTGAATACTATGTAAAATAAAATATTAATTAAGCATGTGTCAATTTCCTTTGTACGAAAACTTTGAATAATGGGACTTATTGTGATGTTGGGTATAATTTGATGGTATTTCATGAGATTTCATAGGTTACAAGATATATTTGTTCACACGAAATATAAGGCCGCAATATTATTAGTCTAACATAACTTATGTTATATTCCACTGCTATAATAGTCGTTGAATTCAAAGATTTAAAAATTCAAAATGTGAAAACTCTTTCTTCAAATTAATGGCAAAGTAAGTGGTTATATTTGCGTTGACTCTTTCTGCTCAATTTCTATTCAAATACTGTAATCCTACAAAATGGGATAAGCAAGAAGGAAAACGAATGTTAAAATTAATCTAATAATTAAACTACTATATCTTGATTTGCATAGTAATTAAGTCCACGTGATTATCATTAATTATCCCTTTCTTTTGGGTGATTTTCATAGCATTCCACGTCCAGTCACATGCATATATTAGAAATGAAAAAATGGTGGAAAATGAGTGCAACTGCATGATTGGGCTACGCATGATTATTCATCTCCAAATTATAAAAAGAGAATACAAGGTTTTTGAATTCAACGTTTTGAATTTGAATTTGAATTTTTCTTTTTTTATCGTTTAGTCAAAACTGGTGCTATATTTATCGATTGGATTTAAATACACTCCTCTAACTAATTTAT